CAGTTCAAATCCCGAAATAATAACCAATGTCGCCGTACAAACAAACATTTGTTTTTCAAAACGTAGTTTGTACCATATTATTGGTAAAAGTGCCATCTAGTGTACAATTTGTTAAATTATGTTTTGTACGGGATTATTTGTCTCGTATTTAGTCGAAACTTTCGATACAATAAAAACCTATAGATAAAAATATATAAATTTAGTTTGTACGACATCAAAACGAGTAGAATAATTTTTTTCAAGAACTCGAACTCCATCCCTTTCGCGCTCAGAATACATTTTTATATAACTATAAAAAGATAAAAAACGAATAGGCAGTAGAGTTCTTGTCCTAGCATATAAATGATGATATACATTGTACTTTGTAGTTTTTATTTATTTTGTAGTCTATTTAAAATAAATAACGACTCTATTGCTTCGTAACATTCAATTTGTCAAGATCTAATCTTTGTATTGTATTGATTGAATTACATAAGCCAGAGTTAATGTAATTGCGCTGATTGCTCTTGAATTAGACCATTAGAGACTTGGTTTAATACCTGACAGTATTGTGTATCTAGTAATCTTGCAGAATGTGTTATATACATTGTATCTTGTTTACATACAGCGCTGTATGTACGATTGTACATTTGGGGACAATGCAATAAACGTAAGAGTCTTGTCTTAAGGCCATTAAATATGACATTTTTAACTGTTAACAAGATAATATATAATACGTTTCTTATTTTTTAATGGCTTTAGGTTTAAAAATCGAACATAAATTGAAAAAAATTTCGACTCGGCAGGACTTGGAACCGGCATCGTCAGCGTTCCGTGCTGTCGCTCTACCAATTGAGCTACCGAGTGCTTTAGGTTATAAAACATTATGCTGCGACTATTAAGAGCGAAAAATAGTGGGAAATATAAAAAAAGAGGAAAGAATATTCACCTTTCGGGGTTCCCGTTGCGTGCGCTCCATAACGGTTCATGACATCTAAAAAAAAGTATGACAAAATTACTTTTCTAAAAATAAACTAACAAATATGACCACGACAGTATATGCATTTCTTTTAAGACTAAATCACAATAACTGTTATTATGAGAATCAAATTCTAATACTGTCTGTAGTTAACGCGAAATACATTAGTTAAAATTATTTGCAAATTTATTTAACAACGGCCTGATGTTCGGAGCATTTTCGGATAATTTACAAGTAAGTTTAACTAATATATTTAGCGTTTTAAACCGTTAAAAAATAAAATCGAAATGCATCATACGGCAAAATGAAGTGTGCCAGGTCAGCTACTTAGAATATAACTTTCTTTTACCGTTCAAATAATGAAATAACTGAATACCTCCCCAAGTTTCCCCCTCCTACCGACTCTACATTTATATTGAACGGTGACTTATTGGAAGAATATCGCAGCATCGTATAAGTAATTCGTTTAAGGTTTTAATTTTCTTCTCGCTGAAGCGGCCCGAGTCAGGAAATTGAATCGGCTCGTACCCGCAAAACTCGACAATTCCGTTCGCGTGTTATATTAATAGACAGTGTTAGTATTATTTAAAGTTTGTTTGAACGCGCTAATCTCGGGAGGATCTATCGGGGAAGGCTTTAGGCTACAACATCACGCTGTGACCAATACAAAAGAAACAGTGGGAAATGTGAAAGAAAAAATTAACTAATACACAAAATATGACTGTGCAAAAGAGGAAACCAAAAAAACATATTTTTAGAGCGGCCATTGAAGTTCCCCTGATTGCATTTTTGGTACTTTTAAAAGTAAATACTGTCTATAGTTTACGCGAGTAGTACACATTTAAATAAAACACTTTAACGGTTTAAAACGCGATGTATTAGTTAAACTTATTTGAAAATGATTTTTAACTTCGGCCCGACGTTTCGGATGCTTTGCAGCAGCCGTGGTCACGGGGAGACTAAAGATGGACAATGTCTCTGACGTCAAAGGCCGTCCCATTTTAAGTGATATAAGTATGATATAAGAATGTTATTAGAATAATTTATTTATCAAAGTTTTATGTACCCTGTATCTTTATTAAACATTCCTACTTGAGTAATTTCTTTTTCCGTGAAGGTCTTATAGAAAACTCGTCCAAACGAGAATAAATTTCAATGAAAATGTAAAAAGTTGAATTTTCTCTGCGACTGCCAATTCACCATATTACCAATGAAACGGTACAGTCGCAATCAAGAGCGAATTCAAGAGAAACAACGTTTCGTTCTATCCGTATTTTTACCCGACAGCGAAACGAAGAGTAATGGTTTAGTTGCTTATTGTCACTGATTGTAATTAACGTGGCATATCAGAAATATACTTAGTTTAAAACAATAGTACCAATGTTTAAAGGATTTCTTTTAGGGTGCAATTTTCATAAAACAGTTCATATTATAAAAATGCTTTGTATTGATGGACGTGTGATTTTGTTTTATTTAATACATTTATAACGATCTATATAAATAGAAACACGATATAAATTAACTCAGTTACTGCAACATTTTTTTTTATGAGGGAGGAAATTAAGCATGGAGTTGACGGAATATGACTTGTCTTTTTCTTTTATTTTTTCGTGTATTTCAGGTTGCCTAGAAGAGATCGCTGCTTAGCGATAAGGCCGCCTTTTATGTATAAGTTCGTACATAAGATTTTTTTTGTGGTATATTTTATAAATAATAAAACTATCGGCCTTACACAATTTATTACTCTCCGAATAATTCATGTATTAAATTGTGTAAGGCTTTAACTGCCTTCGTTCAGCATATCATTCTCTCTTCGCCTAACAACATCTCCTGGTAATGCAGTTAACTCGTGATGGCGAAACGTCAAAAACCTCTTCTTGCTCACGTCGGCCGAACAACCCGGAAAACAATAATATGCAGATTCGTCAATACTTTTGTAAACCTTCTAATAATATTAACTTGTTTTTGATTCAATTTATTAATTATGTTATCATTTCACAACCAAGACACAATTAGTTTTCAAATGTCGAATAACGATTATATTTTGAATTCTCTTAATTTATTCAACACTACTAGTAGGTTATTGTAAACCATGCCTTATTTATATTAGATTAACAAATATTTTCCTCCGAATTACCGATGTGTACCTGGGCATGCACTTCATAATATTTGGCACAGGTTACAAACGATCAGCTGTTATAAGGGTGACCATAAAACTTTGATAATAAATATTTAAAATTAAATAAAATATAAAAAAGTTTTTTTATTATATTTTGTACGCTTTTATAAAAGATTTATTACATTTTCTGACACTTTGACAGCTAAATTATAAGAAGATTAAATGAGGCAATATAAATTAAAATCCCACAGCTCCAACTTTCTAGGCAAATCCTTTCAAATTACAGCGGTCAGGTTATGGAATACCTTACCCGTCTCCATTCGTATGGCGCCTTCCCTTCTATCGTTTAAAATAATTTTATGTCGCTTAATTGTCACTATCTATTAATATTGTTACGTAATCTTACTTAATTAGGTTTAGTTTCCTTAGATAAGTTTAGAAATAGTGTGTAAGTTCTGTTTTGATTTTTTAAAGATTGTAAATTTTGTTTCGCCCACCTTGCACGTCTCCTTTTCTCGTAAACTTACTCCCCTTTTATCTTGGGTTGCCTGGAAGAGATCGCTTGTTAGCGATAAGGCCGCCCATTGCACTCAATTTTTCTAGTATATAAGTCTCGTTTATTTTTCTGTGCAATAAAGTGTTAATAAATAAAAAAATAAACTGTTCAAGTCGTTTTAATGATAAGTGCTGAAAATTTACATCTGGGAAGTCGCAAATGTGCGGTCACCCTACTAAATGTCGGAATACCTCGGCAAGTAGCCATGCTTATATCAATACTATGTGCGCTATGTAGAAATTTACTATATATCGTATATTTGAATTGCACAATTGTATAACATAGAACGTACGTAATTTATGAGTGAATTATCCAAATGTTATGTTTAGCTGAAAGTTTATAGGGGGCATTGTATACAACATGATTTTAGATAAATTTATGCGAAGATAAATTTGCTTTGTTTATGCTTTCTGTTTTATTAAGAATTGGGCAGGAAATGGTTTCAGATTGCTAATTGAAAAGGTATGGTATGGTATGATTTATAAATAAAAACAACGAATACCATACATATTATATAATCCCGGTCAAAAATAGTTTTAAAGAGGTTGTCAGTCTAAGTATGTATGTGTATTTATATTTATGATAGAGGAGAAGAGACAAGCTGCTGTCGACCTATTTTGGCTTTGGATATTCGGAAATCCGAAACTGAAAGCGTAACGCGATTAAACATCATTAGTAGAGGTTGGTTCGTGACCCGGACGGAATTTCAATATTCTTATCGCCCATTTAATATGCAAATTTATTATTTATTTATGATTAGAAACATTTTGACCCGGTGGGATTCGAACCCACAGCCCGTTGATTATTAGTTATACTTTGTTACCATCACAATTAAATAAGTTTAGAGTTGAGACGATTTTTATTAATTGAATATCTAACGCAAGAAATACGAAACAAGATCTTATTTGGCAATTTCATTAACAATGTGTTCATGTAAAAATGTATTTGGCGAGATTATAAGTAATAAATGAGTTGATGTAAACTTCACGTAGGTTTGTAGGTATATTTTAATGAATACGTTTGTAGGTACATTTGTAGTTCGCAAAAGACACTTAACGATTTTTTTTCAAAATCATAAGCTTAAGAGAGCTAAAAAAAGATCTAATTCATATTGTTAATACTTAGTAACTCTAAGTAATCTTTCTGGAAAGAAAGACGCATATCTTAAGGGCTTGATAAAACTGTAAGTTTTCGTTCTACCTATAAAATAATAACCTATATACATCTCAATTTAAGTAGTTAGTTATTTGTAAATAAAAGAAAAATCTTACGTTATAATTAAACAATAATTTATTATCTCAAAAAATGAGGTCCGCAATCACTTTGGTAACACAACGACACATCCGTTTGTGAGGATATCTCTTGGCTTATCTTTCATCATCACCGCCGGTCATCACCTCCATGAATTCTGTAAAAGGAACAACGATTCTAAGATACGGTCAGATAATTATTAAAAGGACTTTGTTATTAAAATGTAAATTGCATCATCGTCTAGACAAAATATGTTTGTTAATTTTTTAAAGATTTACTATAAAGTATGGCAGACACGTATGACACAGATTTCACAGATAAAAAAATTGTAAAAACTGATCGTGTTTTGTCAAGATGTTGTATGGCCAGGATATTTCACCATCCATCAAGTAAACCATAGCTTATATGTCATATACAAAGTTGGATCCCTGTTTCCCCATATGGGGCATGGGGCGAACATTTCACAAATAGATATTATTAACAGACAATAAGTTGATTTAATTTCGTGCCCTTTTCGACCGTCGCAATCATTTACCCAGGATCCAAACTTAAGACCGAATGTTAGAGTTTAACCATTGTACTGCAGAGGCTGTCACTTATAAAACCATATACACAACATAATTTACTATTTCAACATTGTTGTTCGGGCTATTCGACCAACGTGAGCGAAGAATTATTCGAGCTTCGATTGCTAACATCTCCTGATGATGCCGTCTGTTTGTGATAGCGAAACGTCGAGAGCCTCTTCTCGGTCACATCGGCCGCGCAGCCCGAAAAACAATGATATGCTGAACAATGGCCGTGAAAGCCTTACACAATCTATAATTTACTATTACTTCGTAATTAAAGTACGCATACCGTGTTAATTAATATTATATTTTTATGTAATAGCATAATAGTTTTTAGCTTTATTTAATGTTTTACCATCGAAGTCAACGGTGCCCGATCCATCGGAGTCAATTTCTTCAATCATCATGTCTAACTCCTCTGCGCTGATCTTGTCATCTAATTCCCTCAGGATCTCTCTTAAGACTGCGGTGGTAATATAACCGTTACCTATAAAAATAGAATATCTTTGAAATGATATTAGTTTTTGAGATGTGGGCAGAACTTGAACCGAAATCCACAAGTTGCTGTTGGAACTACTATTCTAACTAATTAAGCTACCGTCTGAATGTAAACATAAATCCTTACCCCATCTGGGGCATGGGGCGAGCACCTTTCTGTCTCCGTTTTACCGGTCGATTTAATTCACAGACAAATAGTTAGTCAGAGTTCTGTTTATACAGAGAGCCCAATATTTTTTTGACACCGGCAAGACTCGAACAAACACCCGATAGCTTACAGTGTGGTCGAGATCATTTAATTTTCTCAATAGACAAAGCTTTAAGCTAATTAACTTAAAGACACTATTATGTACTTTTAATATAGAAATACTTTTGTCATTCTTATCAAGACTCGGTGTTTAAATGTTGAACTATTAAATGGTAGCTTTTAATTTTTGATTATTGTTTAACTATCTTAAACTAAATCGCAACAGGAAGGTTTGAAGGGGCATCTGACGCATTGAAAATTGAATAACCCAATATGTTACGTAAGGGAAGAATGGGGAAATGGTTATCAGCAAATATAGATTGATCTTCCGGTCTTCTATTAGTGTCGCCCTTAGGACATTATAATAATAACTAGCGAACAAAAATAATCAATAGATTAATTGTAAACATATTAGAAGAAATACATACATTATTTAATAGAAAATCACTAAAAATATGGAATTACATACTTAAAAGAGATAAGCTGCAATATTATGACTTGACTTATTTATATTTTCATAGTCTAAAAATGTTATTCTTCAATAGCACAGTGATTCTTGCACAAATAATAGTACACATTAATTTTCGCTGAACTTAATTGCGCATTTTTATTTTCCTTATTGAAAATAATGGTTTTGTATTAGGCCACTCTGGATCTAGTAGCCTCATATAAGGTCGTAACACAAATACATTTGTTACCTTCTTTGTCATATAACCGGAATGCTTCTTTAAGTTCCTGTTGCATCGCTTCCGCGTCCTCCTCAACCATAAACCTGGAGGCCAGCGTTACGAATTCTTCAAACTCCAATTCACCAGAACCTATCAGAAAATTCTCCTTTTGATAATGTATGGTAAACTTTAGAGTTAATACTAAGAATACTAAGAAACACTTTAACCGTTTAAAACGCAAACTATATTCGTTAATTAATAAAATTTTACTACTACGCTAGGACACCCTCCATCTTTAGTCCCCCCGTTACCATAGGTTCTTCAAAGCATCCGAAATGTTTAAAGTTAACAAATGAATTTCGGTTTTTAATATGAAAAAGTGTATTTAAATAAATATATGAAACGAAATTTAAGTTTTAAACCGCGTTGTAATATAATCTTATTAAATTGAAATATTTAAAACAAACCAATCCCGATTTAATTATTTATCTAAGATGCTATATGAAGCTATAAAGTTTCCAAGAAGAAACAAATTATCACTAAACGTTCAAATAAACTTTTTATTATATAATTTACTTTAAAAATCGAAAAAAAATTGAAAAAATTTTCGACTCGGGCAGGACTTGAACCGGCATCGTCAGCTTTCCGTGCTGTTGCTCTATATAATTTACTATTAAACAATACTCACCATCAACATCAACTTCGTCGATGATCTCTTTGAGCATATCATCTGTGATGCTGTGCCCCAACATTCCCAGGATGGTGCCAACCATGACTGTGCCGATGCATCCTTTCTTCTCATGATCGAAGGCTTCGAACGCCTTCTTCAGAACTGGATACATAAAAATTACATAACTTTTAAGCTATTTGACAAAGGACAAAAACAAGCCTTGACAAGACTAAAGATTTTTTTATATTTACAAGCCTTAGGGACGAAAGTCTAAAGACAGATGTTATATGGTTTGCAATATTTTTCAGGTTGAAAGATAGAGGCTCCCCAAATTCTGTACAGAGACTATGTATTGGTGACTGGACCCCAACATGTATTTTACTAACATTTTACATAATGCCATTAGAATTAATTAATTATGTATTATTTTAAAATAATTATGATTATGTTAAAAAAAAAATAATATAATTATATAGCCAGTCTGACGCCGTAACGCATTACATAGCGCTAATCTATGAAAAACTATTACTACGAAAATGAAATTTTTTAAGAGAACTAACTGAGAAACACCCATTACATTCTTAACTCATAAACTTCCATTGTCTTTTAAGTACATTACTTTTGACGGTTTAAAACACGAAATCTATATATTTACTATCGATCAACGTTTTGGATGCATTAAAGCGGGCATGGTAATGGTCGTTCTTAATGTCAAGTTAAATCGTCTACACTAGCGCTATCTGTTTTCCGTTGCAATATTTCGCGTTTTAAACCGTCAAGTAAGATCTAAACTAAGTATAGCATTTAGGTTGATTAAAATTAATGTAAGTGTTGCAATGCTTAAAAAACTAAAAGGTTTATGTTGTGTTGTTGGTATTTAGAATCGCTGTCAGAAGCAACGGCGAATTAATTAATGGCGCTAATTAAAAGTTGAACGTACTTGTGAGTTGATCCTTGTTGAGCTCCTCCTGTGTACAAAGAACGTTTGTCATAAATCTATGAATCTCTGTTTAGCGATTACAAGAGAGGTAAACTGACATTTAATGGCTGTGTTAGCGTCTTCGCGTAAAATTATTACATTGACAAATTTAAGGTTACCCACGACTTCGCTTGCTTTCCGTCGTTTTTGCATGAAATCTTAAAAAATAGACATTACGACGGCCTTATTACAAAAAATCACTTAAACTAGAACTGCGGAGTCTTGGTTTATCTCTTAAACCATGGTCTAAATAAATCTAAGTTAGTACCATAGTTAGTCCAGTTAAAACTCTTCGTTTTGTAATAAGGATTTCAAATAAACCAGGGCTTAAACCTGGTTTGAGAGTTGGTCTTTGTTTTGTAATAAGAGTGATAGTGTCGCGGACATTTTTATAAATCCTTTAAAGAGAAATCATTATTTCATACATATTTGGGTATCTTAAACCCTTTTTAGCAGTGTACGCAACGGAAGTCCACAAAAATAAAAGAAAAAGATTTCCCCGTTTTTTCCACATTTGATCGCAGTTCGAGAAAGGCTTCGACAAACAGAAGAAATAACTTTTCAATTCAACCTAGTAGATCCTGAGATAAGTGCGTTCAAATAAATCGACAAGTTTTTAAGCTTTACAAAAGACTATAGTTTTAATTACATACTATGATTAAAGGAATGCCATGATCAATATTCATAAATGTACTAAGTACATGGAACTATGAATTACTAAGGCCCCTCGTGGGGCATGGGGCGAACACATTTCTGTGTCCGTTTCATTGATTCGTTCTTTTAACGGGCAAGTAGTTGATCAGACTTCTGTGCCCTGCCCGACCGAAACATTTTTTTGGTTTCCCTGGGATTCGCGCCTCAACGCAATGTTGGGCAATACGTTTAACCATTTGGTAGAGAGTTGATATTGAATAAGAATTAATAGCCACTTTTTAAGGTTTTGCTAAAATTAAAGCATAAGTTTTGTTTTTTTTTTGTCGTTACTACTTGATCCGGTAGGCGTTACAACTAAGGTTCTAAAAAGTAATTAAATTATATAGTTCCTTCGTGTACATGTAAAAAATAATAAAATTTTTAAAAGTAATTAATTGTAGAAATTAACCAATAGTTTTAGTATCATATTAGTTAAATTAGTAAAAGAAGAGATACATCGTCTATTCATCTTTATTTTGTGTTAATACAATCAATAGATTTGAAATTATATCGTTTTTCACGAAACTATCACATCGACCCCTTTCTCCCCTATGCTAAATACTTCGGTCGGAAAGTGTTAAGTGATCTTGTCAGTACTTAGTACCCTAATTACCTATGCTTTAAAATTAATTATAATAGCTTTGTAGAATAAACTTTATTCTACAAAGCTTTTCAGTATGCTCTTGAAACATTTAGTTTAGCAAAATTAATTGTAAAGATACATAAAAGTTCAGGAATTTCTTTTTTAACAAAAACGGTGTGACAATACCTATAGCAAAATAAGCCTTGGTTCAACGCAGAATAAATGGATTAAAACGCGATATTTATCTATATTAATATATAAAGCTGCAACCTTTGTTTGTTTGAACGCGCTCATCTCAGAAATTACCGGTGAGAATTCAAAAAATCTGTCGTGTTGTTTAAAGGCTTCATCGAGAAATGCTATAGGCTATACAATATAACACTACGACTAATAGTAGCGTAGATAGAGTGGGAAATACGGAGAAAAACGTGGAAAATAAATCTTTGAAGGTTTCCGTTATATGCGCTGCGAAAACGGTTCAAGATAGCAAGATAGGTTTTAAATAATCTAATAATATGTCCGGCACAGTTTTTGTCTCTTTTAAGATTATCTTGCAAAAACGACGAGACGCGGTCATCGTGGGTAACAGCTTTAATTCACAAAGTTGAACAGGGGGTTTGCCAAATAAATATTGATATCCAAAATAATTATTCTACGCGTACGAAGTCATGCTTCGGCTAGTTTCTAAATAAGGTTAATTTACTACGCGGGCGCAGCTATTTATTTATGTGTTAAAGAAGATGCTTTTAAACTAATTCTAAGCTTCTACTCACCATGTTTTAGAAAAACTGCACTAAATAGAGCACGATAGCAACAAACAATGTCAGGAACACAAGTCCTTGCAGCTGTACGAAGTAAGCGACTGCCTTAACACCAGCTACCAAAGATGCGATCCCCAGACTGGTCCAAAACGACTCACGCGCCGATCCGAACCGCGAGTATTTCCTCCTAGCGAAGCCGAACGCTTATAACCACTATCGCTAAGGACGGACACCGCTGCCAATTCTGTATATCTACAATTGATTGTGTTGTCTTGTTCAGTATAATCTGATAAGACAATCGATCGTTGGTTACGCTAGCTCAAGACAGTATGAGGACCTCAAAATAGAAAGGATGGCTTAGCTTAAATGTACTAAATAGGTATTGTTTATAGCTTACGCACTTAAACATTTAAATAAACTCTATTAATGATAGTATCTATCCGATAGAGTGCCTGTAGCTAATTACATAAATGTGTTCCCTAGTATGGTGTTATGCGCGTTATTTCGCTCGAGCAGGACAAAAGTTTGGTCAACTACTTGCCGTACATATAACTAATCAGTGAAACGGGAAACGTGTTTACCCCATGCCCCACGATTGGAAATAAAACTATATAAAGGACTGAAAATATTAATATTTTTCACATGTCATTGCACATGAAGGCACTATATAATTTAAAAATCGAAAAAATTGAAAAAAATTTCGACTCGGGCAGGACTTGAACCAGCATCGTCAGCTTTCCGTGCTGTTGCTCTGAGCAGAGCAATTTATTTTCGGTTTTTAAATTATATAGATAAAGGACTTTCAACTACTTATACGCGATAAGAGTGTTAGTTAACGACGCTGCTGCAATGCCTAAATACCGGGCTGTAGTTAAAATAACTTAAAAATAAGTTTAATATTATTATACTTCGCGTTTTAATCGCTGTTAGTGTAGTTTGTGCGGGTAGCACACGTCTACATAAATCCGAAACGCTCCGAACATTAAATACTGTCTATAGTTTACGCGAATAGTACACATTTAAATAAACACTTTAACGGTTTAAAACGCGATATATTAGTTAAACTTATTTGAAAATGATTTTTAACTACGGCCTGACGTTTCGGATGCTTTGCAGCAGCCGTGGTCACGAAATTAAAAATGTTTCGCATTCTAAGCCTTTTAAGTGTTTTATCAAAATGAACAAAATAGGGCAGTAATAAGAAATTTACATATTTCACATGTTAAGGTACTAAGGTACTAAGGCTTTACAAAAGCACAGTATGTTGCGACTGTAGGTTCAAGTCATGCCCGTTTTATAAAAAAAAAATGTAATAATAAAATTTACCTAATTATTAAATAACTTTATTTTGCCACATAAGTGATTTATTTACATTACTTTTTTTCGTCTGGAAATCTAAATAATAATTGAGTGGTAGAAATATCCAAATTTCGTTCTGGGTCACGAATAACCAAAATATTTTGATAGTGCATTTTATTTGGACAGCGCATTATATTTTACTTGACTGGGGTATTTTAAGTAAAACCTAGGCTTTTATCCTACAATTGAGGCTAGTAGATGCAGAGTGGCTTAATAGCAAAAACCACGATTTTCCATAAGGAGGAAAAAAGATATGCAATTACTTGAGAAAATGTATTTACTATTATTTGTGTAAGAAATATGTAAACAATTTTCGATCTCTGTGCACTCAAGAATAACATTTTTAAACTACAAAAATATAGCTCCAGTCATAAAATTGCAGTTAGGCTACTCTGCCTCTAGCGTCCTAAATTTTCCGCTTATTTATTCGAGAGCACACCTGATTATTCCATGTCAAATATCTGACGATCTACTGTCCCCAAGCAATGCACTACATAGCGACATAACAGCCAATTAAAATGTGTGTTCTCCGCTTTGAATCGGTTGGATATTTGCCATATTTCACCCATACAACGGCTATAGGAGCCAAGGCACGTGTAGTGATGAGAGTATTATTGCTTGAGTAACGTAACATGCAATGTAATACAATTGGAACCGACACTTGAAAGAGAGAAGAATTTGGTTGAATAATAATAAAACTTTTTATTAGTCAAACACATAGAAATCACTAAAATTAATTGTTTAGTAATTAATTAATTAAATACTGTCTATAGTTTACGCGAGTAGTACACATTTAAAGAAAACACTTTAACAGTTTAAAACGAGATATATTACACGGGGAGACTCTCCCCGTGACCAAGGCTGCTGCCAAGCATCCGAAACGTCGGGCCGAAGTTAAAACAAATCAGTTTAACTAATATATCGCGTTTTAGAACCGTTAAAGTGTTTTATTTAAATTAATTAATTTTTAGTCTATTGCTACCAAACTAAAAAATACAAACAGAACACTTAAAGCAACTCCGAAAGTAATAAAAATACTCACTAAGTAATAAATCTGGCGTTCATTTAGTACAATATTAGTAACTAATAAATATGATTACAATAAAACCATAATTAATATAATATGATTTTATACAATTTAAAAAGAAAAGCGGTGTCAGAGGGTCTGACATTCAGATTCATGCCGATTTTCAGCCAAACCCTAATATTCGTAAATTAGACAGTGCATTTGATATTTTTTTATACTTACTAAAGTAAGGAATCATTAGTAAGTAAGTTATTCAGTAACTATAGCAATTATTGTCGTAAATAGGAGGGTGTAATTCTTGCGCCCAGCGGCAAAGTGCTCTGGTAGTTTAATAAAATCTACTTATTTAAATAAAACACCTTAACGGTTTAAAGTGCGATATATTAGTTAAACTTATTTGAAATTGATTTTTAACTTCGACCCGACGTTTCAGATGCTTTGCAGCAGCCGTGGTCACGGGGAGTCAAATAAGTTTAACTAATATATCGCGTTTTAAATCGTTAAAGTGTTTTATTTAAATGTGTACTACTCGCGTAAACTATAGAGAGTATTTAAAATCTACTTAGTCAGCAGAAACTACTAAGGATATAATGGTTAAAAAGCTGAATTGAAGAATTGAATTTCGATAGGATTTGTCTAAATTCAACGGTTTATTATTGACGGTAGATAGAGAAATGAGATATTTTCCCGGACTTAAACTAATATACTAAAAAGAAAACGAAGTTTCTACCTTAGGACGTAAATGGGTCAAACAAATTAATGCACTTTTACTTTTTACTTTTTAATGATTAACTGCGCCCGCGCACACCAGATTGTCCTATTGTAAAATCGGCTATCTATTTTATTGTATGATGCATCATAACAAAATACATCATGTATTTTAACCCACCTCTTTTAACCGGGGAGAGGGGGACGATTACACACATAAATACAGTAAATAACATTATGCAAAATGCAAACATTGTATTTTTTTTAATACTAGACGCATTGGTGCGAAGCCATTTAGATTATTATACTATTTGGGCCCCGGCCGAACAAAAATGCAAAGTAATGTTTGAACGCATTCAAACAAATCTATCAAGCATTTGTAGTAAAGAATGTATGGAGTATATCCATTTTATCATATCCAAAACATCACTCCATGAAATATGTATATAATAATTCTATCGCAATGGATAAACTTTTAAATAAATTATTTTTCTTATAAATTATTATTTAATCGATATTATTACCACGAGTGTCGAGCCTGGAACCAGTGCTAGTAAAAAGTTACCGTCACGACGTCGTCAAAAATTATATTTTGCTATGTATGAATAAGAACGCCGTCTCACATTTTCTTTTAAAGTTATAACTTTACAAATTATCGAATTTCTGTTCGGAGATTTACAACAAAGATCGTTTTGTATCTCCCGAGAAATTTACAGTAATTGAGAGCACTTGGAAGGCTTATCTCATTTAACTTTGTTAACTCCGAAGTGGTAACTTGTAATTAGTAAACTAATGTTTATTTATAGATGCAAAGGCTCCATTGAAAGTTTTCTTAACTTTAACAAAATCTATTTATCAAATTCTGCCATTTCATTCCAATAAAAAAATTACTTTTAGTGCAACTTAGCTGGAGAGAAATTAGCTTAGCTGGTATGAGTTACTTACATTTATTACATGTGTATTCAAGATTATAGATATTTTTTTTTCTATCCAAAGTCTGATGAACTTTTCTGTTAAAAATGATAGAATAGACACAGATTTGTGTCCGCCTAAACGCACAGGTGCGTAATTAATTACATTTTACCTTTTTACCAATTCTGCCTCAGTGATTTGGAAGTTCAAACCCAAATCCAAACTAGTTGGATTTCTGCCAACTTATATGTAATTTCAGCCCTCAGAAAACTTACTTTCGGGGCAAATCTCTCTTTCCCAATAATTAATAAATACATTCATCGCAATTTAACCTTAATGTTGATATATGCGTTATTTATCTTATATAATTTTTATTTACGTCTTTTGGAACTGTAATATATATTTATAGCATAGCACGATGAATGATTTAATAAAATATTTTATTGCGAATGTCCGTTTAATAGAGCTTTAAACTTTTATATAGCTTGAAGCGACGATACCGGAGAAGTTTCCACTAGAAATCTATACCAATATATAAAGCTCAAGAGTTTGTTTGTTTAAACGCGCTAATCTTAGGAACTACGGGTTCAAATTAAACAAAAAAACTGTGTAGGTTAGGGCGTTAATCGAGGAAGGTTATAAAACATCGCGTTGTGGGTAATAGACGCGAAGGCACAGCGGGCAATGTGAACGAAACGGGGGAAATTTCTCATCTCTGTGGGTTACAGATGCATACGTTGTGAAAACCGTTCAAGACATACAAAAATATATATGAAATAATGAGTCCTCTTTAAAAGATCTAAAAAAAGTCGTCGGACACTATCGGCCTTATTACAAAAAAAAAACTCTTAAACCAGAACTGCGGAGTCTTAAACCATGACCTAAATGAATCTAAGTTACTACCAGAGTTAGTCCAGTACAAACTCTAAACTTTGTTTTGTAATAAGAGTGTATATCTTTTAAGATTAACTTGCAAGAATAACGAGTCGTATCAATATTATATTATGTT